ATTATTATTATTATTATGGTAGTTCTTGTCTCACTGTCGTCATCATTGTGGACAGTAATTTTAATTGAAAATTATTGTTCAGTTGTCGGGAGAGCTTAATTGAACTTCCGCGGCGTATAAATATTGAAGAGTTGTCACTAGCTGGTGGATTCGCTCTCACTCAAGAGCCGTTCTTCAGAAGTTTGTTACGAGCGAGTGTTGCCTATACGATAAGTATGTGGTGATATTCGATATTGAACTTGTTCATTTCGTTGTTTCAATTTCAAATTTTTATTTTCTCAAATTCATTTGTGTTTATAGGAAATTTTGATAGTTGAGCATTGAATTGTTGTGACAAATTTTCATTCATATAATTATAAAACCAATACAATCGGAACTCCGAATGAATGAACTCTGAGCTGAGTGACTGTTTTGTTTTGTTTTTGTATGTTCAAATGTTGAAGAGCAATGGACTGATTGCAAGGAAATTGAATTGTTGATTATATTTGTGAATTATTAATTGTATTCGGTTGATTGTATTCGTGAAATTAAGAGAAGCAACTGTCAAAGGCACAAATTAAAATCCCACCGAATTTGGGTCGAACAATGTTCGGTGTTATCGATGAGACAGGCATATTGCAATACGGACAGGTCTTTGTGCAATATTCCAAAGCGATCAGCAACAAGAAACCAGCTCGAAATGCAGCCAAACGTATTCTGAAAGGTTCATCTCGCCTTTGCGTTTCATTCGTAGATTTTTAGTTCATCGAATAGATTTGTGAATAATCGTTTCAATTAAAATAGGTCTGCAATATGTTTGAAATGTTGAATTGTTGATGAAATGGTCGGTTATTTAGGACCGATTTTGATGACGAAAAATCCGCAAATAGTGGCCGGTGACGCGCGAGTATTCGAGGCCATCGATGTACCCGAATTAAGACATTTAGTTAATGTGGTTGTTTTTCCACAGTATGGACCAAGACCACATCCTGACGAAATGGCTGGTGGGTCGGATTCGTTTCATTGACACGATTGATCGTTTTTCTGTCTTATAATCATTTACAGTTTCCATTTTCTGAAATAGTTTTCTGAAATATGATTTACAAGATTGATCTTAACAATTTACAGTGCTTTTGATGTTAGTATCAGTGCTGTTTGTGAATGTTATCATCGTTTTTTCGATTTTTTAATTGTCAAAATTTGAGGAAAACAATTTCATTTTTATTATTGTCATTGCAACAGTTATGGCAGCGATAATAATAATAATAACAATAGTGGTAGTAATAGTAATAATAATGCAAAACAATATAATAGTGGTACTAAATAATGAAAATAATAATGATAATGAGAATTAACGAGTGAGAAGCACTTTAAAGGCTCCGATTTGGACGGTGATGAATATTGTGTGATATGGGATGAACGACTGTTATTGGAAAATAATGAAGAACCAATTGATTTCACGAAAACTGTTCGTATGCCAGACAACGTCGACGACTCGGAAGTGGTACCAAAGATGATAGAATTCTTCGTGAATTACATCAAACAAGATTCAATTGGTACAATCGCAAACGCGTTCATGGTGAACGCTGACCTTTACGGCATTACCAGTCAGGTTATCAATTTCTCTTCGTTTTTGCACTATCCTAAATTGTTTCCTCTAAAATCATTTTCTTTCTGTGTGAATCTTCTGTTCAGAGAGTTTTTCTTTTTTCTTTTTACCGACAAGAACAAACGGAGAATGTATTCCCCATTTACAATTGTCTGGATTATGTATTTGGTCGTATGCATAGGATTCGGCACGTTCCACTATTTCGTATTGTTTATTTTATCATATGATGTAGAATGTCGATAAATGCTCAAAAAATTTTAATGAAAACTCATTGGGATTTCATATCGCCTGTCAGGGGGATGCCGTATTGAATTGTTGATCATCCATCGGTGTTTTGAGTATCGCATCGGTAACACCATTGATGATTCTTGATCAATATTTAATCGTTTCGTTCGTGATCGATCAAATATCATCAGTTGATGAATGGAATGAATGGCTTGCAAATGAAAGTTCAAGACCAAGTTTTAATTTGTATTGGAATGATTTGGCAGTTATTTATGCTCCGAATTGAAGGTTTGTATGAATATCGCCCGAAAGCAAAGCCAATCTGTTGACTTTCCGAAAACCGGACAGCCGCCAGCTCCGTTAGTGAAACAGTGGACACAACAAGAGGACGGAACATTCTTACCACCTGAGAAGGCTGAAAGATGGCCAGATTTTATGACTAAATCACATAAGCCGTGTTATGTGTCACCACGCTTACTTGGATATTTGTTCAGGTTTACATTTCATTTTGTATTCTTCTTATGATCATTTTACTCTATTTTCTTTTCTTTTCTCTTCTTTTCTTTTCTTTTTCTTTTCTTCTGTTCAAAGCACACAGAAAAGTTCCTTGTAAAAAACGTTAAGAATAAATCTGAGAACATTCGTTTTGTTTTTGCAGGAGAATTCGATTGGTTGAGGACGTTTTAGCGATTGCGAGTGTTAGTGAGCAACGTGAAGCGCTTGAGTTGGACCAGGATTTGCTATATGAAGGACGGGAGGAGTATTTGGAGATTGCAAGGGAGCGGTATAACGCGTATTGTGCTGATGTTGGGGTGTGTTGCGTTCAGTTTCTGATTATGACTTTGTTTGTTCGAAGTTTCGTTCCTCCTCTTGAAACTAAGTCATAACCTGCGAAGAGGTCATTTGGGAGTAGCCAAGAAATTTTTCGATATGCAACACTCAGCAGCGTAAAAGTTGTGTGAGCGGAACGGTTGGTTTCATTATGTAACATCAATCGAGAGAAAGGAGTCAGTGGCGCAAAAAGAAAGTTTAAGAGGCACTGATTTAAAGATAATTTGGCGTAACTTTCAAAATGAACAGTGCTCGATATCGGCTACACTTTTTCGATTATAGATTCTACGGTGTTGTCCTACTGCAAAAATTCTTAACAGACCGCGATTGTCACTGTTTGATTATAGCACTTTCTGCAAAATTTCAAGCTTTTCAACTGGCCAGCCTCGTACGCTGTATGTATTGTTAAAGGCCTTACTGGATAACTACGGGATACCGGACGAAGGGCAGCTATTCTCGGGGTGCGTTAGTGTGATACGGAATCGTATAAGCGATCGTGATATGGACGATATGTCTTTTTATAATACACTTCATATGATCGAACAAAAGATGAGTGAAGTCTTCTTGAGGTTCGATGGATTGGTTTTATTATGTCGTCCGTTATTTTGTGAATGGTCTCGTTCCGTTTCTGCGTTATCTTTTCAGATTTCATTATTGTTTTCCACTATGCCATTAAATCACTTCACAGTGGTTAGAGTGAAATTTACATTGAAATTAAAAGCGAATTGCAGATATCGTATAGATTTCTACAAAGAATTCGGTGGTTACGTTGAGAACACCGAAGCGGAACTTTCGTATGGCGGTAACGACACGTCGGAAGCGAACGAACGTCGTATCTGTAAGAGCCCTTCGGAAAATATGCAGAAAAAGGCATCAGCGTATTACGAGATTTGCTATGGTATCAAGTTTAATTTCGCTTTTGTCATTTATTTATTTATTTATTCGCACATTTCTATCATTAGGTATCTGTTGGTGGATAGTACATTTTTGAATTTTTT